GTGGATCAACAGAGCACTTGACTCACCAACATATCCCAGTGGTAAGTTTTTCATGGTCTGCTGGATTTTTGAGAGCTGACCTCAGGGTGGGTAAGGGAAAGGGACAAAATCAAGCCTGAAACTCGGAAAGTCTCTGATAAGGTGGAGTAGGATTTCCATCTGATAACACTAAAAATAAATTTGTTCCTTTTTAAAGCAAATTAGTCTTTGCTCATTCAGCTGACTGGATAAGGTTATTAAAATGTCAGTTCTGTAAAATGCTGACTTTATGCAGGATCAGCCTTCTCTTAAAATTGAAATAAAATGTCTGGATTTATGAGATTATTTTTTTATTACCAGCATATCTCAAACTTTGATAAGTGATTCTGCTGCGTAAAGGAAAGCGCTTAGTTTAAAATGTTATCATTCACAAAGGTGAATTAAAATGAGGCTTAGTTTTCCCTGCAGCAAGACTGGAGGCAGGGAGAGTTTCGTAGGCCTTCAGTTTGAACCAGTGTGCTGCTCTGAAGTTCTCATAAGTAGCCCTTCCCTTGCCAGTTTTTTGAGTCTTTCGATTAATTTTCAGATATCTCAGACTATTTTTTAGTTGTTGAGTGTTATATAAACAGCATTAGCAAAGAGCTGTGATGTGGGAACAAATGGCCTGATTTGATGGTCACTGAAGCTGGTGGAAAAGCTAAGAGCTGTGAGCTCTCCAGGAGGTTCAGAGAGTTACAGAAGCCTCAAATTACTCTCCATTGCATTCAATCAATAAGCACTCTACTCCCTCCACCACAGCCACTCAGTTCACCCTACAGGCAAAATATCCTTTCTGAGAACTGTGTTTAGCATAATAGTGCACTGCATTGAGTTGCAGTGGGTTGCTGAGTTGCAGTGGGTTACTGGGCACATCATGGACATGGTGTAATATGTGCTAAAAGCTCATCTGCACACCCACAAAGGAACATAAGGAACAAGGGCAGGAGGGGGACCCCAAATAATACCCTGCCCCAGCTGCTCCCAGGCACATCCCAGGAGCCATCAACCCATCAAATGCCTGTCTGCACCAGCACAGGGGCACAAAGGCAGGTGGGAACCCAAACTAAGGACTCAGAGGAAGGGAAGCCACAGCCCCACTGTCCAGAAGTGAAACCCACCAGAATAACTTTGGGACTGAAACATGTTGCTGCCAGGGGACATGGGACACATTATGGCCAGGGCTGTGTCTAAGGGTGATGCCACGGGGAGTGGGCTGCTGAGGACCAGGGGCATCCTGGCCAGCTCTCTGTGTGTGATTGTCTGTATCAGCAACTGGAGTGGGGCTGATGCCTCAGGAGGTTGATTGTATGTCCAAGTGCCACCGACTGGGGAGACTGAGATCCATGGGCAGCTACTGCACAGACTGAGCCCAGCGGCTGGAGGGATCCAGATGGTGCAGATGTGTATTTATCTGGATATTCTCAATAGTGGACCTCCATCCTGTTCAGCCGGAGAGGTGAGAAGGATGCTGTCTGTGTGAGTGCTCTCTATGTCCGTCTGTGTTATCTGTGTTGCCAGCTCTGTATGTATGGATATATATGGTTTATATATGCTCAGGCTCCGTGCTGGTGGGACCTCAGGCACCGAGCTGCTCCAGCTTCACCTCTCTTGGACTGCCAGACCCAGCACAGTATGTTTTCCACTGGCATTATGCTTTCTCCTTTGTTTGTAGTGTCACTGAAAGTAGAGTAAGCCTGAGAGAAGAGTAGAGATGTGGTATTTAGCATTGTAATTTCTCATTTCCTTCCTTTTGTGGGTTGAACTTGTAATGTATGCAACAGGCATAAAAGTCCTGCACAGCAAGCTTGTTGGTGCATTCATTTCTTAGAATTTGAAATCTGTTGGCTGAGATGGGGCTTGGTGTGTGGTGGGCAGTTTGAGGAGCAACTGAGAGGACAACAAAAAAAAGCTGTATATAAACCTTTGTGTGTGTGTGTGTGTGTGTGTGTAAACTATGGTCTAGCACCTACCTGTGAATTATTCACTAGTGTGCAAAGTTTATGCATCAAAAGCTTGTGGAACAGCAAGTTTCAGATATGAATGGTAGTGATTAAAAAAAAATATGCTGCAGACACAATGTATTTTAACTATGTGGACAAACATGAAACACCAATATCCTTCAAAAAAGCAGTACAAGCTCCGAATTAACTGCTTCCTGTTGAGAAGAATATGAAAAGAAACAAAAAAATACTTCCAAGAAGTAAACTAATGTATGTATAGAAACTCTTCAGGAGGTGACCTAGTTTTAAAGACCATTTGGAGTTTATGTGCATTGCCTGTAAAGAGACAGAGTGGCCAGGGAAATCCTGCTGTGATGGAGCCCATGTATCCATGGAAATAGTGTTGGGCTAAATTTCCTCATTGCCATAATTCCACTAAATTAAATGAAGTTGTATGAAGAATGAACATGACCCTTTGTTTTCACTTTTGAGCAAAAGGACCTTAAATGTTCTTTTTAGTTTAGCTCCCAAACAGAAGGTCTTTTGTAACATCCTAATTGCCTAATTCCTATTTTTGTTTCCTTTCTGTGAGGTGAGAATTTTACATTCCTTTGTTATCAGTAGAAGTATTCTTCCTTCTCCAGGGGAAAAAAAACCTCCTATAATTAAATCAAATCAAATCAATCATATTTTTACTAGATCTAGGATTTCTTTTGTCAATGATAAATACCAGCATCAGGAGAGATACCTACTATATTTATCTATTATTTGCATGGTATATATTTGCAATAATGTTTTTGGCCGTGAAACGTAAACAACTCTGAACTCTCACCAAATGCATCTTCTGTATAACAGTGCTTTTGCAAAATATCCTGTTACTGTACATGAATTTTTTTGGTAGCTGGATCATTTTCTTAGATTAGAGCCCATCAGGCTCATAAGCATTTCAACAAATGGGGTGATTTGGATATACCACTTCAAACTTTTCTGAGTGATGTAGAGAAGTAAAGCTGAAATAAAAATCTGTGTCACTTTTCTTCATGAGAAAAGGGTCTGCCTTTGTTCTCTGTATCATCGTTGGAGCTAAATGTTATTTATAGTGTATCTTCTCTTTCTCAACAGCCTGCAAGATCATTCAGTAGGGCAATCTTAATCTTAAGTTTGCTCTTCAAAATGACTGCTTCAGATGTGAGGCTACTTCACAGGAAGCATGACCTCATTCTGCCTCTGTGCTGCTGATTGCACGGGCTGTTTTCAAAAGGAAACAGGGGACTTCGTAGACCTGCCTTTCCGAAGACTTGGGACTCCTCTGTTCCAGGGCACTGCAGAAGGAGCACCCTCTGTTTCACATCTCAGAGGCTCTCCTGGTGATGACGAGAAACTTTTTGCATATATGTGTTACTAGTGAAATGGATATTCCAGGTTTGGAAGATTTTACACGCATTTATCTCTTAATATATTTGTCAGCTGAGAAATAACTAAGCTTTGGATTCATTTCTCTATTGCTTTTCAGGAAGTTTTGTATTTTTGTGAATGTTGTTATCATTGCCTGCAGGGAAAAAAGACTAGACTGCTCTTCAAAAATGACTGATATGTGTGAACAAATAAAACTATCTTTATAGACACTTGTGTTTGGTAGGTAGAATAGAATAAAACTAGTTGCCTGGGCTTCAGCTATTTTAGTACTTAGCATTATATTTTGGTACATGCTAACGTAAGTATTTAGAATGCAAACACGGACAGGGGATTGCTGGATACAAACTGAAGGCATCATTAGCTTATAGATTAATTTGACTTTTGGAGGGAAAGGTGATTAAAACTGACTGTTTTGGAGAGTGACTTTTTTTTTTATGTTCTAACATGGGCTTTTGGGTGTTTTGGAATTCAAGGGGGGTTGTTGCATTAAAGTTTTATTTGAATTATTGACATAAAATATTGCTGTGTTCACCTCAGATTCACTTTTAGTGAGTTTTTAAAGCTGTTGGCCTTTTCTCATGTCATAGTTTAAAGGTTCTGTATTGATGTTCATTTTGTGGATTACAGATAAAACACTACTGCTTCATTGTACAATGGTGGCTGAGATGCTTTGTTTTGGCTTGCTTATATTGTTACTATAGCTTCTCACACTATTAATAGCCCAGAAATGGGACTGAATATTAAATGAAAGCAGAACAATGAGCAGCATTGTCTACAATGTGATGTTTCCATGCTTTCTCCAGCATGGACTGAATTATGATTTTCAGGAACCCTCTTCATTAACACATGACACAAAAATTTTCATGATCAAGGGTAGCAAAAAAACTGATTGGCCTGCCTGTTCTATGACTGTTCTATGACTTCTACAGAAGCTTGATATCATCATTACTTAAAATAGTTTGAAAGCAAATTACAACTGCTTATTCACTGTTCTTGAAGAGACAAAGTCATCACCTCCCCAGTAAAATACTTGCCTATGTCTATCTCTCACTTTCTGTTATAAATATATATACACTCTATCTTACCTTAAGTATTACTTCTGTGGGGGGTGGCAGACAAACATGTGTCCTGCAGAGACAAACCTTGCAATTTTATGAGACAATTCAAATTAACAACAAAAGGACTGTGTTTTTTTCTGCCACTTTGATCAGCATGTGTTGACACTTTCTAATGAAAGCACTGCCCATATCTAAACTGCTATTCTCAAAAGTTATTCTTTTTCAGTGGTTGCTACTTTGTATTACCATAACTGAGAAAATCAGATGCAATACAAATGTGTTACAGGTTTCAGTTCCTGAAGAGTTTCACTCTCAGATTATCGAAGAGTTGTAGTAGATATAACTGATGCTGAGGTATATGTCTGCATCCCTTTTCAAACAAATTTGCCCTAGAATCAATCACTTTTGTTTAAGTGAGAATATAACTAACAATATGATACATATTGATGATAATATCTTACACATCCCGATTTTCAAACAAGACAAAATAAAGCATACTTCTGTTTCTATTTAAACCGTTTTACCGATAATCTATATTGCCTGTTATCCCAAGGTGTATTAAATAATCCTTTTGAAGATGCATGGAATATCACATGTTGCATCAACACCAGGAGCAAGTAAATTTGTGCAAATTTGTCTGCAATTTTGATTAAAAAAAAAAATCTGTTGTGGAGGGGTTCTTGTCTGACTGATAAGATTTGGGATTTTGCAGATTTTAGCTTATATCCAGATCTACAAACCACCTGTCAAGTTCTCCCTGTATTTTCTTTTAGAGTTTGGATTAATTTCTTGGGCTTGAGAATAATATTTTTGCACAATTAAAAATCTTTATTTTGCCTAAAATTGAATATGAAAAAACTATGTATACAACAGGTCAGTCTGTGACATACACCACTACTCACACTTTTTGTACAACTTGCTGTGTGGCATTCTGACTTGATCCGACATGATCTCCTTAGGCCTCCACCAATTTTTTTGCCAGTTGTCTCTTCCTCCAGGTGTTTTTGCAAATGTTAGAGCATAATTTTCACATGGTAAAGCAAAAATTTTTATTTTCATGTTTTCCCCACAAGTGTGGGAGAAACTATGTATGGGAGAAGGGTAATAGGACTGATCTGTCAAAAATACCGTGGAAGGTTTTACTTCCCTTCTTTGGTGACGCTGCCTGGTCCCAAGGCTCAGTCAGTGTTCACAGCCAGGCTGAGCTCCAAATGAGGATAACTAAGCTCTAAACGAAGATAAACAAGTTTACCAAAGTGGAAACATTGACTTTCACATCTTTTATTTGCCTCAGATCATAACTTAACATAAAAAAAAAAAATTCTCCTAGATCTATGTCCTCTTGTAGGTGAATGATGGGCATTTACTAACAGTGTTGTAAGCATGATGCTCTAAAGATACAGGAGCGGCAAGGTTATATAGGAAATATTTTATCTTTCTATATAATAAGAGATATAAATTCTCCTTATGGGTTGCTCATATTTCATAAGATTGATTCTGTCAGGTGCTGAACATCTGGCAGCACTTTGCAGACTTGAGCCATGGTAATCCAGACAAATCCTATTTCCTGAGTCTCCTGCCACAATATTACTGTCAAATCTTTGTCATTGTTGCTGTCTCTATGACTGTTGTGCTATGTCTGCAATTTTCATCTGAAAAACACATTGTAATGACAATGTTGGCCCTTCCATTCTAATCTATCTATTGCCAATACATGTACTATTTTTGGCATGAAGCAGATTTCTGGGAAAACACCATTAAAATTATTGCAGCTATTACATTTGTGTTCCTAATTATTTCTCTCAAGGTTGTAAGCTATACAGAGTACAAGTATCTGATTATGATTGGCTCTGATTCTGTGTTGTTGAGATGAGTTTCCTATAAACACTGTATGTCCTTCCCCCATTCTTTCATCTGTTTTGTCTCCTTTAATCTCTCCCTAAATTTCCTTTTCTATTTTAGCTTCTTTTACGATCTTTTTGATATGCAGAAGGTACCTGTCAGTGAAGACCTGTCAACTGTTTGAGCTGTCAGTGGATATGATAACAACTCCTTCTCATTTGGCCTTTTCCTCTGCAGGTTCAACAGCGTTTAATGGAGAACACAGATGCAGCCTCCCACAGCATATTTTTCCAAGGTATTAAGGAAAATTATACTTGTTTAATTTTATTTTTATTTTGTTGGAGATTTCATAAAATCCCTTTTGGGCCACTTAGAATTGTAGTACTGGCTTTCATTTAATTAGTGCTTTAAATGGAAGTTCAGAAGTACTGCTGTGGAAATTAGACACACTGGCTTTGCAGTTACAAGGTTTTGGAGTATCTCCGTTTCATCTGCTTTTCCCTCTGCTGAAATTATGGTATCCCTCTGTGACATGCCATATGGGGTAGTTAAACCTGCTACTGAAACCTGTGCCAGCCACTGAATCAATCCAGTGTCTTCCTTTCTTTCCATGGATGTTACTTCATGGTCACTTGCAACTCAAATGTGTCGAGGAGAAAGGACTAACCATCAATCCGATTTTACTTGAGCTAAGTAAAATATCTGCAACATTTAGATTCTTTCACCTCTGTCACAACTCATGTTTTAAATACCACATAGTATATTTTTCTGTGCTATATTTCATCTCAAAGTCAATTGTATTTCAGTGCTGGATGAAGTTATCACCAAGTGTAGACTTTATCCCATGTTGTTCTAGCTGCATGGTATTCTAGGGTTTGTGAGAATTAAGTGTCATATATCCTTAAATCTTCATTAAGTACAGCTAGGATATCAAAAACCAAATAAATCCTGTCTGGTTCAGAGGCAGTCAGGCCTGTGCCATGCAGAGTAACTTAGAGGAGCAAAATACTGGAACACCAGTAACAGCTCCATGTCAGTGTAGATCTGGCAGGACTCCTTGGCCAAGAGCACTGCCACAGAAGTGCACCATGCACTTCTCAGTTCAAGCTGGCTCCATGCTTTCATTAAACGCTCCACCTTTCATGAAGCCCTCCTGTACTCTGAAGCTCTGGAAAGCGTGGTGAAAGCACACTCTAGCTGGCTGAAACCCCCTAGGTCCAGAAGTAATATCATTATCCACATGTTTTAAATCTATGGCATTACCAGCCCCCATCAGCTGGTAACGTAGATTCATTATTATTATTAAATCATGGGTTTGCACTGTCTAGACATTCACTAAATTAGAGGGTTTCAATTCTCCTTTTCAGTTATGCTTGTGCCCTTTCGGATGATGACCCTGCCTATGAGTGTTGTTCCACAAATCCTCTGACAGGTTCTGCATGTCGCCACAGCCCTCGACTGCTTTCTAACGGTTATTACGTTTTGACAGAAGACAGTTTTCTGTCTGATGAAGAGGGTAACGTGACACTGACACCATCCCAGACAAGTGTTACATATAAAGAGAATTTAGTTCGGTAAGTGAACTACATGCAGATTTTAGTCGATGTTGACAATTGACTCCACATCTCTGGACTTATCTGGAGGTATCTGTGTGGCTGTCGACATTTTGCTTGGCATAAAATCAACATTGCTTCTTAATGGGAACATCTCAATTGATTTAGTTTAGAGAATGTAGTGATTGAAATAACTCGATTTGCAGTCATGTCTAATCTTACTATCCAAAACTCTTCAGCACACAGTTGTTGCTGTAACTGGAGTTGTGTCCAATAAAGAAAAAGGAGAGCTACAGGTCATTTTGCCAATGGGGTGTTAACATGATAAAGAATAAGAAAAAAGTATATATATAAATGCTCATATATATATGAAAATAAAATGATCTGGTCTTGTAATTTTTACTCAGGGAAAAACCTCTCTTGATTTCAGAAGAACATCAGTTTAGGAAGGTGTCCCTGCCCATGGCAGGGGTGTTGGAACTAGATGACTTTTAAAGGTCCCTTCCAACTCAGACCATTCTATGATTCTATGATATAAAATATAGTTCAAAAAAGTTCAGGCTGCACCACATGGGATATGGTAGGATGAAACTCATGGGTAGCACTTTCACAGCCAAACAACTGTAGTATCATTCGATATCACAACGTCCAGTATCACAACAGCATGATATATTGCAATGCTGCTAATACATTCCCTGACATTACTGCAGTGGGCAGCGGTCATTCTTGGTGACATAAGCAGGGTCAAGAACAGGGTCAGGAACAGGGCCCAGAACCTGGGTCCTTCCTCTCAGTCCTGCAAGCTTTAGAGCTCTGTCCTTGCTCAGAATTAACTATTAACTCCATTCCTTGACAATGTGTCCTTTCTTTCTAGCATATTCAGGCGAAGGAAGAAAGTCCGTCGCTCTCTTGACAGCTTGTTCAATCTCAGTGCCTCCAGTCCATGGCTCAGCAGCACCGTGCCCAGCAACATGGATTCTTCCCATGAAGATGATCCTGGGCCTGATGGATACAGTAAAATAGAACCCAGTCAGAGTGATATTGGTAAGCCCTGACCAGGCACCAAGGAATCGAGCTACAACATTACAGACTATATTTAGTGGGACTTGGGTATCTCTTTTTATAGGTTTTGCAGGAGTTGTCTGCCAAAATGTGCAGGTTTGATGAACAGAATTGTAAGTGATGAATTGAGCTCCTGGTGTTAAAACAGAGTATGAGTCTGCTAAGACCTTTGTGCCAAAAAGTCATTTTTAGACTGAATTTGAATCCAAAGTCATCACCAGTGATGTTTATGCTGGCGTCATTAAAATCTGGCACTATCTGCTTTCACCTGACTGTTTTAATAACTTCATTGTGTCACGCTCTATGCAGTTCTCTCTTTTCTCTGTGTATTTTCTCCTGCATACACTGAACCTGCCAATTCCCTACAACCAAAAATTTAGAAATCTCCCTGTGATTATGTAATTATTTTTTTACCCCCATGAAATTCATTAACATTCATTAACACAAAGTCTCAAAGCTCTTCTTTTGTGTGGTTTCAGTTATATATTTTTTTTAGGTGATTCAGACTTTTCTTCTGAGTATAATAGCCATGTGCCACAAAGGCAAACTCCAGCATCTAATGGAGCCTCTCTCACCAAAGATGAGGAGTTTCTTCAGCCTGGGAATCCATTTTGTGCTTCAGAATCCTTCTCTCCATTTATGATAAATGCAAATGAAGAGACTTTGAGCAATGCAGGTAGGTTATATTCTTATATGCTTCACTTTTGGGGTGAACTGAAAATACTCACATTAAAAATGTTGATATGGCCCCTTGCAGAATAGAATTTATTTCCTGGAACACGTATGTTAAATGACTGATTAAAAATAATAAAATCTTAAAATTAATATTTATTTGTTCACTCCTCCCTGCTCACACCTTTTCCTCTCCTATTTTCAGTGATAAATGGAAAAAGAAAAAAGTGTAGTGAAGAGGAAAATGGAGGAAAGGGCATGGGAACAAAGACTGAAACAGGCAATTATTCAGAAAGGCTTGTTTTCTGAGAGCATGGAGGGCACACTCTCTCTATGGTCATGGGGGAAAAAGACTCCTGAGAGACACTAAGAGCATGAAAATTAGGTTTCTGCTTTGAATCACTCTAGGCAAATTCTCTTAAAAAGAAACTGAAGAGACAGGCTTCACAGGCTGAAGGTAGTCTTTGCAAACATCTCCCGTCATATTTTTACTTACCTGAAAACTCATGAAAATTATTTTCCTGATTTTTGTTTTAGAATCCAGGACAGTGCAAAATGTCCTTTCTCAAATGGTTGCACTAATCACATGTTTAATCCTTTCAATATGTACAAGGTAATTTTAATTTATTTTATTTGTTGTTTCTGATATTAATGCTTACTCCCTTTCTACTGGCGAATAAAACATAAATTACAGGTCACATTTTCAAAGTCAGTTATATCTTACTGTAAAAATGTATTTTCACCTGATAGTCAATGCAGGTAAATATCTGAGCTATATGGATATGCACAAAAAAAGAAATATGTATGCAGATATAACAATTACTTTGTCAAGTGTGCTTCCACAGGGGTTTTGAAAAGCTGAGACGAGTCAGAAGGCATCCTTGTCTTTCTAAGAGACCAATATGGGTGTTTCCCTCAGTCTGGGAATGGTGAGGTCTTTATTTCTAGGAGATGATCCTCAATAGCTTAAGTAATTTAACTTTCAAATTGCAGTTCACCTACCATAGTTCAGATGATTCATCTGCGAGAACCTTCTCTGCCCCTTCCACCCAGGCTTCACCTCTATTAACCCAATATGCATCCTTACCTTGGGATTTTTTTTTCACCTTTATGGGTATTTTTATGTTCTCAGGTATTTTCTTGGAGGATTGTCTGCCACTTTGGCGCTGATAATTTTAGTTTGTAAGTACAGACTTTCTTTATATTAAACACACAATATTTTACTAAGTCATATCTGAGGACTAAAATCCATCCTTGGATGTAAATCCACAGCTCTTACTGATGCTAATAAGAGTAGTATGTGGGCATATGGGGACAGAATGTAACCTTCAATCACTTACAGGATTTTGTATTTGAATTTCACAGTTCTTTTGTCCCAAGATGCTGCTGTGTCATCTTTCTTCAGTCTTGACACATCTTTCAAAACAACTAAGTTTTGGTGAGTGGCTCCAGTACCATGTGATGAATAGAGGAATTTAGAAATTTTATATTAAGAAGAGGAAGAAGAGATTCCATCTGTTGTTTTCATGTTAAAAGATAGAAGGCATGATCTGAAGTTACTGATGAAGGATTTGGCTTTTCCCATTACTGATTTGTACTCATAGAAACTTTCTGTTTATTTTGAAAATCCGCCTTTTCATAACGTGCAATAAGTGTTGTAACACCTATTTGTTAGCAGAAAAGGCAGATAAACCTAATATACCATAACATGAAGATGCAGAGACAGACCAAGGATAGTAACTTATTATGAATCCAGAGATGTACTTTTCAAGTGTTGCACTGACGTCCACTGCCAGGCCATGAAACCAAGCCTTTTTTTAAATTTATTTATTTATTTATTTATTTTTACTGAAAAAATAAAACCAGTTAACTATGGCACTAGCCCCATCACCACCTTCCAGGGACTAGAGAATTTATGTGACTTGGCCTCACTAACCCAATGCACTATTAGGTTCAGGACAGAGCTATGCCTTTGGCTTATTCTATAGTCTGATAAATGTCTTAGAATGAAGTATTAAATCAGTCTGATCAGTTGAATAAAGATGCTGATGTTGCTGTTTCGGATTGCTTTATTTCAAAGTTTTGCACAGAGCTGTCACTTCCAAATGCTTCTAGAGAAAAAGACTCTCATATTTAGAAGGTCTGAATTACATCTTTAGAGCAAGCTCATACCTAGCCCTCCATGCTGAAAGCACATAGGTATGTGCTGCATATTATGAATTACTGTTCTTTCACTTTTTACACAGCAGGAAATTCTTCTGAGTGTGTAAAACCTAAAATGCTGCTAAGACTAAAACCACTTGTGCTTATCTGAATTTTTATGTGGCAAAAGTGAAGCTCAAAAGGATATTTTTTGTTTCTGAAACTGTGTCAGGGTTCAGGAGTTCAATGTATCCCAAGGACAATCTGGCAGACCTCTTAGCTTTTGGATTGAATATCTTGGAAGTTAGAAACAAAATGGCACAACTTGGAAAGCCATATTGCACTCATGGTCTTACGTTCTGAGCATCCAAGGGTCTTAGCACAACACCTCAGATACTCAAGGATGGTACTTTACACTAAGGCCACCAGGTTAGGACCAGAGTGTTGCAAACACGTGCTCCAAAGAAACTGTTTTCTGACTACCTGAATAGTTTAGCCCTGAGTCATGAACAAAGCTGTTCTTACAAGAGGAAAAGAAATACGCTCTGAGAGCTTTTCAGTCACTGGTATACAGGTAATACCTCTTTTATGCTCACCACAGTGAGAAGTTTCCTGCTCAAACAAGTAGTCCTACAGCTTAACTAAATTTGTCCAACCAGGACCTACATATATACTGATTATAACAAACTGTGGTTTAAATCAGGACATACAAAAATGTATGCTTTATGTTTTTTCCTCCAGGAAATAATTGGAAAGAAAGAACAATTGGTGAGTATGTGTTTACGTTTAGAAAAAATTCCATACATTTTGGGGTAAGCCCTATTAGGAAATAGGGTTCAAGCATACCAGAAAGGAACCCTGCACTTTTCATTAAAAGAAGGTTTTGCTGCAGGATCCTTGCCAGTTTCCACTGTGAATTACTCCACTTTGCTGTCTAAAACTCCTCTTTCATTTTATTTGGATGAAATATTTTTTTATTGTTTGACAACAGTTGCTAAAGAGTGTAAGCTGTTAAACAACTGCTGTGCTTCAGCCCACAGAAACACAGTTTTCATTAATGGGCAAAGCAAGTCTTCCTTTTTCCAAGTTTAAACTGAAGAGTAGGGCCAGATGCTGTCCTGCTCTGACTTGGTACCATTTCACTGAAGGAGTGGAGCAGCGTCAACATGCATCAGTCCAGAATATCTGGAAAATGCTTATAGATTCTTCTCTTCCCTTTTCTTTTTCTGTCAAACCTCATCCTCAGCCTCCATTTTCTGTTTATCAAGTATTTCTAAGTCTTGGTGTAGCTCAGATCCCTTAAAACAAAAGTACTGATTTATTTGTACTCCGAGCTGGCCCTCCCAGTCCTGACTTTGTTCCTTCCTTTATCTCTTTACTTTGAAAAGATAAAAATGAAAAGAAGGAACTAAGTAGAGTTGTGTCTGGGTTTTGCTCCTTAAAGTGTGGATAAAACAGCCTTGTTCACCGGTTTGCTGGTTCAATGCATTTCAGTTTCTGAGATCTAAAAGCAGCTGCACAGCAGCAGACACAACCTAGAACCCCTTCAGTCAGCCCTCAGAAAAAGGATGTTCACCCTGAGCTTTTTAGAGCGGTATGCAGGCATTTGATCACTTTGCAGACTTCCTAAAGCTTATGATGAAAAAGCCATCCTACTCATCCAGTGTGCCAAGCAGTAGATGCTAGGTATGGCACTTCTTAAAGCCAGTGGGACTGTTTATGTAACATCAGAGCTTTAAAGCCAACTCTGATTTTAAAAGCCAGTATGAATATTAAGCAAAGCAGGTACTACAGGATGGAGTGGAGAACTTGGGACTTGTTGCCTAGCAGGAGTAAATTAAATACAGACTGGCACAACATACTGTGAGACGGGACCTCCACCGTTTCAAATAAAGCTTGTCTCTTGTTTTTCATAGAAACTTAAAAGCAGACTAGTTACCTCTGTATACTTCAAAATCAGTTCACTAATAGTTTTCATTTTTCCTCCTCTTCAAATTTATTTTCCCCAGCTCTTCAACTTCAAACTACAGGATAACTCCTTATTACCATCATTACACATGCTTCTGTGGAAAATAAATAACAGAATTGTTAGTATTCTTCCTTCAAAATGCAATTCATTTTAGCTTTATTTTCGTTCTGGTCAAACTGTGAGTGAGGCCATACTTCTTGGTGACTATCTGAAAGCAGTTGTGTGAAATAACTGCTGTACCTCTGCTCTCTTATATCAGTGAAGTCCTGTGTAGACATGGGGTCCTATAAGCATGTTGATAATAAATTGATGGTAAAAAGTGTTTTGCATTTCCCATCCATTTTTTGGTAAACAGCTGATATCTTCCAATACTTTATGCAATAGTTTCTTGTAACAACATGATGTCAAAGATAATGGATTCGAATAGTGTCTGAGTACATGCAGTAACATATTTCAGAAGCTTTCTTGTATCACATGTGTATGCTGCCTTTTGGCCTTCATGCCATGCATTAAGAAAAGAGAAATAAAGAAGGAAATAAATATTATTGGAAGGGAAGCATTCTTCAGAAAACAAAGAATCAGGACATGGAGAAGCAAGGATTAATCTGAATTACCTGGATTCAGGTACAAAAATACAAGACTTGCAGGTATTAACTTTACCTTGGAAACAGTGAGCCCTATTTTTCAGCTTGGATCTTTGCTACAACAGAGACTAAATTACACATAGAAACTGTGGGTAACCAAAAACTGTTATCTTGTGACTCCAAGCTTTTAATAATCCACTCCTTAAGATATCTCCCTGTATGCTAGTTTAGGTAAGACAATGTGAATTTCATCTTCCCATGCAACAAAACGATGATAACGTGTGAGGATGCTATTGGCCACCAAATCATTCTGTAACTAGTGCTGCTTCTAGTTCACTTGTCCCCTGGTGTGCTAAAAGCAATGCTGGCACAGCCCCAGCTGGTAAATCAGACACAAAATGCTGCCTGTGGAAGGGCAAGGTCTGCTCATGGGGGACAATCAGGCTGGCAGGCGTAGGAACAGAGATTGGAAAACTCTGCAGCAAAAGCACAAAACCAAAATGTTCTGGTGGAAGAACTGAGAAAACTGAAACACCACTGTCTGTCCAGCTCTGTCTAAGCCAGACTCAGGCAGGTTAAAGCTGTATTTCTACCATCGAAAATCTGAACAAATGATGATGCAATGAGGAAAAGGGCACTTGAAATTAAGTTAAAATGTGCATTTCTCTTTCAAAGTGTAAATATATGCTGGTTATGTTTTGAACATAACAATCAACAGTTCAGCATCAAGAGCTTAAAGACAGAAATTTCACTCAATTTACCAATATTGCATAATAATTTACTTTTTCATAGTGCATTAAATTGACTTTATATGAAGACAGACCATTTGATGTAACAAGACCAGATTTTATAGTTTCAATAAATGGCAACAACAGAATGTTCTTCTTCATAAAACTGATATATTATGTAACTATAATAGTAGTTCTAATACTCATCATCATCAGACTTGTAGCTAATACACTTGAATAATTTTTTCAGTATTAAATAATTATACTTCTTTATTTCCTTTAACTGTGGAGACAATTGAGAGTAAATATCACCATGTAATACATATAAATATTGTTACCTATTTTATTGCTACTTCTAACAGGTCCATTGCTAAATACACTTTTTAAACTAAAGAACTGTAAAGATCTTTAGTGTTTAAATAATCTCCTGGAAGAATAATCTGTAAAATTAAATCCTGTACTGAGAGAAAAGTCCAAGAGTGCAATTACCCTGCAGTCATTGAAGTGATTACGCTGAAAACTAGAAAAACCTGAGTTCACTATAAACTTGTGAAGTAAAAGCTAATTCACCTTGCCAAAAATTTGGTCTAGAATGAATTGCTATAATCTGACTATGAATGAATATAAACTGTAAATTAGAATTGTTCTGAGCTAGAGAGAGGGAAATTCAGGGACAATTTGGCAGTTTGATTTCGAGGGCTAAAAATAAGATGCTTGGGATCTGTTAAGATCTGCCTTCTGTGATATTCATTAATGTTGAATTAACAAAGTTCTATTCAATTACCAGACTGGTTGGCTTTGGCAGTTCCCTTCCATATATTCCAGTGGACATAAAAGCAAGTCTTGTATTGTTTCTCTGAAAAGAGGCAAAATAACATATTCAGCCCTGTTGGATGAAGAATTGAAGCCAACATTTTCTAGCCTAAATGTTTAAATCCAAACTTGCAGAGGTAATTAGTATTTGCAGTTTCTGTTAACTAGAGTATCAAGCCTAGGATAATCGTAATTCTAGCAAAGTA